CGTTCCAGAAGGTGTGCATACTTGTGAGACAGTCAGTGTAATTGATCATCGTGTTGCCCACCTATCATCAGATGATAGTGCTAAACCCGAACTAGTAGTGAAAGACAGCAGTGGTGGTAATCTTGCAGTTGGACAACTATCTGAAATCCGAAAAAGAGCAGCTTCTGATCCACCGCTAAGTTCATCACATTGCGTCACTCAGTCATCATTGGTGTTTTCATCCACAATGAAATGGACGTCAATGAACTCACGTGCCTTATGCAATGACTATGATAGTATTGGTGCGTTTGAAAAGACGAAAGATATTGCTGAGTTTAGTGAGAATAAGCCAAGTGTAAACGAGAGAGCAATTGTTAAATTGACTTGCATGAATAAAGGCATTTCTAGTTTCAAGTTACTATTTGAATGCTATTATCTTTGGTGTAAATTACTCTGTTTCTACACCTGGTTGACCAAATACGTCGTATGTTTGTTCGTCATCTATATTCTACAATACAATGACATGAGCGTGTTGCCGTTCAGATTTGAGGGTATAGCTCATAGAAGGAAGTTAGCAAATGAACTCTGCAACGATTTTCCAACCTAGAGCAACAACCTGAGAAGGGTTGTAGGCGTACTGCTGTAAGTCCTACAATTCTTCAAAGGGTAGCGCATCAATGAACAGTCCAATGTGCTTGGTGTGTGATTTTGTACACATGTTCATATTGTATATACTGAATTGATATCATATGTCATCTAGCTGTTGGTAATTCTGTTTGTGTCCGGACGACTTCCACTTGTATCATCAACCTGAGAAGGAATGTAGGCGTACTGCTGTAAGTCCTACAGTTCTTCAAGGGTAGTTTGTCGTGCCAGAATCCACAACATTTGATGTGTTGATTTTACATATGTTTGTGTTAAATAATTGTGTGAGTTCCAATTGATGTAATTGTCGGTTAATCTTGTGTGTGTCCGGACATTCCACAACTTACAATCGTCAAACTGAGAAGGGTTGTAGGCGTACTGGTGTAAGTCCTGCGATTCTTCAAAGGAATTCCATCGAGACACGATCTGCGAGTTTGTGTGTACTGTTTGTATATATGTGTGGTGTGTCATATCAATTGGTGTTTTTGGATTCATTGTGTTTACTTGTTGTTTTCGTACCTTGTTGTTATTGCATAATTTTGTTAAAATTTTCGTTGTGCTTACCTCTGAATTTGTTTCTTGTCTTCTACATCCGTGAATAAATTGATTGATGTTAAAGACAGCAGATGGGTCGTATACGCCGGGGAGGCTAGGCGATTGCTGGGAATGAAATGCATACGGAGATAATTGTTAGCTGCGGTCCGACACGCCGGGGAGAAAGAGTGTAAACGACTGAGGCTCGCATACGTCACCGTTACTAGAACTGAGGCAGAATGAGTGACAATCGATTTCAGTGGTAATTGGTAATGAGTAGATAAGAGGATGTGCGTAGAGTTTCGTGAGGTGGTGCTATGGTCACGTTGCATTCTGCAAGAGTCATTCTAGCAAGTGGCGATTGTGTTGCAAGATGTCAAGAGGGGGTCTCTATCTGGAGGCACAGGTGGTCAATGATGTGTGAGATTGTGCTGTGAGTATGCTTGTGGTGTGCTGGCTTTTCTGTTTGTTTTCAATTTCAGCTCTGTCCGTGTGACCCAGGTTCTCGCAATTTCATCCAAGTCAGAGTGTATTGGTCGTGAAGGAAAAAAGGGATGGATCCCTTTTTTGCCGGGGAGTGTCAAAGGAGTTGAAGATTGAACGATCAATTCATGGTTGTTTGCTCAAAACCAACTTCCCCAATTTTCGCGGAGGCATCAATACACCAGTCATCGTCTCATCGGTCGCTGTTCAGAAAGAAGTCAGCGGAAAACTGTCAGAAGTAATATTGTGATTTATTATTGTAATATTTGTTCACAGACCTTAGTTGTAACAGTGTTTATATGTTGGTGTTACAATAAAGGATCCTCGAGTCGCCAATTGGTGTTTTGGTTTTTGCGTCCGTTATTACTAAGCGTTTCTGAGAAACTTCAAGTGACAGAGCGAGCCTGAGCGTAGCAAGGGCTGTGTATGAACTTTTTTCGGGACTTGGCTGACTGTTAGTTTGTTTCTCGATACCTAATATCATTCTTTACAACGTACTTTTTGTAAACAATGGATGAACTTTCAGACTTCCGTAATTTTGTTTCCAGAAACCTGAGTTATTTGGGGAAAGGTCTGCTCATTGACTCATATCACATGGTGAATCTGTGAGAGATGAGGAGAACTAAACAACTCCTTTGTCGATGACCCTTTCAGGGGTTGGACAGAGGATCTTCTGGTTATCATTCTGCCAGGGGGAGAATCATGTGGTTGATGATTTCGATTTTTTTCTGAGGTTCTTCGTGAAGTCATAACAGTATGCTGGTTAAATCTGCCGCAGCATCTAATCTGCCATGGGCTAGGTCGTTGAAGAACTTTCGGTAAATCAAACGGTGAAGTGGGATACAAACTTCATTGTTCATGGACCCCCGGAAATGCGTGGCAAGGAAAATTTCATCTCTGAATTCTGGCTGGAAAGCGAAAACAATTTAATACTCACTAACGGCCTAATGCACGGGTCCATTGCGGCACTTCCGAAACTTTTACGGAGTAACGCCTTGTATCGCGAAATTGTCTGTGTGTATTTGGGGGCCATTGGAATTATTAATGCTTTCTAAGTGTGGGGACGAGCACTGACCCCAATTTAATTTTTGGCTCCCGAACTAGTGATTTATTTTATAACTTATCTTATTCCTTTGCAACCCAAGTGGAATATAGAAATTCAAGCTTCTCATCCAAAGTTTAAGTAGCAGTTGTGTTTAATAGTGGGTGTTGCTGAACTCGCGTTTAGCCTTGTCTCATTGCTGAACTTACTACTGGTTAAGTGAGTTTTGAGCAGTAAGTAGGCCGGGAACTGAATCCCGGACTACATACGTGGTTAGTGAATACCCTACGGGTGAAGTACTGACGCACGAATTACTGATTGTCGGGGACTTATCGCATGACCCGGAAACTTATAGCTGTATACGTACGATCTTGTTGTGCAGTTTTACACTTGAAGCTGAAAAACAATATACTCAAGAAAAGTTTTAACCATCTGTGAGTTTTTGATGACTTTTAATGCTGATTTGATCTTGAAAGCTATTTATTTAGAAGGATTCTGCCTATCGTTTTTACTCATTAAAGATTGATGTGGTATTTCAAGAGCTAATTACCCACATCATGCACTGGTTGCTTGTAAAAATCTGACTAAATTTTTGCGTTTATACCACACGTTTGTCTCTGACATTTCGTGTAGACCCTCTTAGGAGACCTACTCACTTAAAATGTCAGAAAATTTGGAGTTTTGGGGCATCAATAATGCACTGATAGGGCTCTCACATGTAGTTGTTTCCCTCCACGACCGCTTTTCAATAGCCGGGCGCAGCTTTTAAGAAAACTTTCTGTTTACCTTCCTGATTTTACAGTTGTCCTTTAACAATTCGTTGATTATCTGGTACCTTTTTTGTTATGTCTAGGCTTAGGAGAATATATGTTAGTCACCTCATTTGTGTAATAGGCAGGATGGTATAGCCTGCTCCCTCAGCCACGAGTACATTTAGACGCCAGAGCTTGGTCCCTGATGATGGTTTGTAGCATCGACCATCACCAATGGACTGTGGGGAGGCGCAATGCTTTATTTTTTGTTCATTTATTTTTAAATTATAGCTTGAAACCACACAGCATTTTTGGTACAAGTATGTAATTTTCAGCATGTGATGTCGGTAGCCCAAATTTTGCAGGCCGACCATTGATATCAGGTGTGCGTCAGATCGAACCACGGGCCATGTGCATGGTCGACGAGAGTCCTAACCGCTATACCACCGACGCTTCATCGTACATCCCCGCTTATTGTAGTGTGGCAGCCCATTGCTGAGGTAATTAGGTGACAAGTTCCTTTTTTACATGACTTTCAAAAATCCTATCTGACCTACATATCAGTTGCATCATATATTTAACTACGTTACATTTGCCCACCATTATCAGCAAATGTTTGATACTGACATCCGCGCAGCGTAGTGGATTAAAGTTCCAAGATCAAAGGTATATTTTTGGGTTTTCATGAAGTCAAGTCGGTATATTTGATCTACCTATTGAAACACCTGAGTGCATTCCATACTTGTACCAAGTGTACGGTGTGGAATCAAACTGTAATCAAAAAATCAAAATCATTCACAATTTAAGAAGTAGCCACTGCCGCTGACCCACTTTTATTGGGTATAATCAGTTTCTCATTACATAGAAAAGCAAACATGGTTTTCATATCGTTATAGGCCATCACATCATAGCGATCACCTATATATTTTATGATGCAGTTCGTGTTTCCTCACACTACCTGCAATCGTTTTATTAATTAAATTTCACAGTGTCATACCCTACGAAAGGATTTCGCCATCTTTTGGATAGATATGCGTGCACATAAACACGTTTGAAATCCTTTGATAACGTAAAAGGTACGTATAAGTTAAATTCATAAAGCTTGGATTTATGGTGAAGTTGTGAGAGCACGAATCTCACAGTTTTTGAAAGCTGTCACAAATATACACTGACTTTAAATAGCCATGGGAGCTTTTAAGTAAAAGCAGCTTTCAAGAGACAGAAATAGTTTCATTCCTGTAATTTCACCGTCATGAAGGGAAAAAAGCAGTCTTACTAGTCCTAATTACCGAAAAAAAGTTAAAATGTGTAAACCACAAGAATAACACAAATACTCTGCCAAAGCTGAAGTAGCGACTCATAGTTTTTCAGCTGAGAAAGTCCGGCGAAACTGCAAATATTTGGAGTCGAAAATGAGTTCACTCAAATGTTATCGCATTCATGAGATTACATATATGGTGTTCAATCCTTCAATTATTTATTTCTTCATCTGGGCTAAAAGTTGGTCTGGTGTTCTACCAGCGCTCACTTAGATTCTCGACCTTATTTGAAATCCCACAGAAAACATGGCTGCGATCCGGAAGAAGTTGGTCATCGTTGGCGATGGAGCTTGTGGGAAGACATGTTTGCTCATTGTCTTCAGTAAAGACCAATTTCCTGAGGTCTATGTCCCAACCGTATTCGAAAATTATGTTGCTGATATTGAAGTTGATGGCAAGCAAGTCGAACTGGCACTTTGGGATACTGCTGGTCAGGAGGATTACGATCGTCTTAGGCCGTTGTCCTATCCCGATACAGATGTTATACTGATGTGTTTCTCAATTGACAGGTTAGTTGCAATCTTACATGCTTGGGAAGAAAGTAGTAGTGCTGTCACTATTTGGCTAGCCATAATAACTTGGACAGTTATCCGCACCTTTCGAAAAGTCAGAGATACACTGTTTTGCTTGCATAATGATTACTCACTCCTTGGGAATGTATCTGTGGTTTTTATGAAAATTTAGTAATTTGTTAGACAAGGAAAGAAATTTAAAGCTATGTACATAAGTGTATCCTATCAGATTATCAGGTTTAATAAAGTCATAAGTCCTCACAGATGTGATGAAAATTACAGTAAGCAATGTTTTGGCGTGAACGGTGAGACGAATTTGATAAATCACATGGAGTGAATACATAGGTGACGCCACATTTGTCGTCAGAAATCGGCTGGTATAATGTTTAGCTACCAACAAAGTGTATATATGCTATCTGTCGGCAGCAAGGCGGGTGTTAGAGATGGAAGCTATACACTGGTATGTAGTTTCTAATCAAATGTATTGTGTTCGATCTCTTTAGCTAGACGGAGCATTATGTTCGGTAGTAATTAAGTTAGGCGTAGAGTGATGAGGGAAGCAAATCAGTAAGTTGTGAAGCTTCGTTGATTGAAACTATTTAAATATGTGCTACGCATGTCAGGCCACTGTCTGCTTCGAAGATTTTAGGGTTGGTGAACTGTCAACAGTGTCATCCCATACAGCCAGCTGTTTGTATGTCACATTGGTGGATATAGATTCCCGACTAGGTCCTCAGATGCTAGGTTCCAACGGTCAGAAGTTATTGCTCACATACTTACTTTACTTTACTTCGGCTATCTCCTACGGGAGGATGAGCCGGCTTCATGAACGTCTCGAATCATCGCTGCCCAGGCGCGGCAATTTGTAAGAGAGTTCATGAAGTTTCATGGGAATTCGGTACGAGTGATGTCCCCAGCATCGCTCGGCCTTTTGTTTGAGAGTGCAGCTCTAGCCTTCACACAGCCAAGTGTGACCTACAAGGCAGTAGGAGTGGAGTAAGGAGTCCACTATCCATTGGCAGCCGGTGACCGGAGTTCGGTTCATACGCCTTTTTGAATGGGGCCAGACATCCAGGACATCCAACAAGCCCTTTGTCCATACGTCTGCCGGTGAGCTCCAGTGAGCTTCATACGCCAGTCGTTGGAGGTTTGGAATCAGGGTTTAGCCATCTCCCCTAGACCGTCATCCAATGGACAGTCAACCCGGTGGAGAGCGCCGGGCATCCGCTTAAAGCCGTTTATAATAGCGCCAATATATGGCCACTCATTTGCTAGATTTATTTAATAGCCCCACCCTGTGTTTCGTGTGCTGCAATTGACGCTACACTTCACTACTTTTGCCTGCTTTTCTGATGTGCAGCAACTGATGTTCATTTTTGTATAGCTCTACAATAAACAGTTAATCTATAGTCATATCTCAAAGGTGAAAATTTGAGCAACTTAAACTTGCACAGTTAACATGCCTTTTGATAGACAACTTTGTTTCTAGTCCATTAGAAGGGATAATTTAGTGGGACATGAAGAGGTTGAGTCTAATTCTAACACTTATCTATCTTAATATTCTAGTGGTTTTCAGATTATACTAAAGAAATATGACCCAAACTTTACATAATGTTAGGCATCTTAATAGTTAAAACGTTCTACAGAAAGTAATTAGCACCAGTCTAAATATCTCTCGGACAACCAAAGTAGTCATGCAGTCATTTCTTCTGGTTGTGCTGTTGTCCTGTCAGCTTCGATTTTCTGTCGGCAAAACTAATAAATCAAACTGCATACATTGATTGCCATAGCAACATCATTTCATCTTACTTGGTAACGAAAGGCCATTAACTTATTTTCATTCTCTATGAATTTACAAGGATTGTAGTTAACTGAGGTAACTCTGAAGCTTTGCAGTACCTGACACTTGTTACAGTCATTTTAATTTCGGAATTTTAGCCTCATTTATATGTCTACAACACTGACCATCCGGGAGAGTTTGTAAATAGTACTTAGAGGTGATTAAAGGGTGCTTAACTACTTTCTGCCTTTGAAAACACGTCCATTATAAAAGTAAGTTGTATACATTATCGCAAAGCTAAATGAGTATCTGTAAGTTTTTTAGTTAGTGTTAAAGCTATTAGCTTGGGGCTCGGTTAAGTATAAACATCCGCTAGTTTGAGAAGACCGTGATTTGCATGCCTTGAGTACTGCGGGTAGAGGTGTAGATCTATCCATAACTCACGGTGCTTCTGTTTTGATTCATTTAGTATACTGCGCGAATGATAGATCAATGTAAAACTGTTTACAGAGGCGCACTAGTTTTAGTTACCATATGCCCAATCAGCATATAGAGGAAAACAAAAGTAGGCAACTGTATGTGTGCGAAAGTAGTTGAAGACCAAGTTTTTGGTGATAAAAAGCGAATCCGCCTGCTGCTCCACTGTGAACTTTTGGGTGACGTCATAAAAAGTTTCTAACTGTCTGTTCTTAGCGTGAGGTAAATCACATCAATGAGACGTGAACTTTCATGTTTCTGACTAGCAACCACAAACGATGTATTGTTGCTATTCTTTGGTCTGCCCACTACTAACCACTTTTTTTGACTAGTTTTTGAAAGACGGTAGTTCAGTATGCGTAACGTTTCCACTACATAATTAGGCAAGGAGTTCTAGGCGAAGACTCTGACGAAATGCAGAGTCTTCTAAACACCTTGAGCCGCAATCTACGAATGTTTGGCATGCGATTCGCTCCCGCCAAATGCAAGATGATGTTACAGGACTGGACTACATCGACGCCTAGTTTAAAAATAGGAAGTGAAGTGGTAGAGCACGTTGACCGCTTCACTTATTTAGGAAGTACCATCAGCCCCAACGGGCTGATCTCTGACGAAATCTCAGCACGAATACAAGGGGCTCGTTTCGCATTGTTAGTTTACGCCGACTCTGGCGTAGACGAGATGTTCGACTATCGACCAAAGGGCGGGTGTACTGCTCATCAGTCCGCTCCGTCCTCCTTTATGTCGTGAGACCTGGCCACTGAGAGTGGAAGACATGAAAAGACTAGCTATCTTTGATCATAGGTGCCTGCGCTCTATTTCCCGTGTAAAGTGGCATAATAAGGTGAGCAACATGGAGGTTAGGCGTAGAGTTCTAGGTCAACAGGGTAAATCAATCGACGAAGTCGTGAAGCTACAAAGACTGAGATGGTTAGGACATGTGTTACGTATGCACACCTAGTCATCGCCTCCCTCGACGAGCAATGTTAGCGGATATAGGGTCAGGCTGGAAAAAAGCTAGTGGCGGTCAAACAAAAACTTGGCATCAATCAATGAATTCCACAACAGTTGGTCTAAGCCACGTAGGAAGATGTAGACTTCCAGGCTGGGGTCCTCGGGACGGTAAAAACCTATGGTTGGAAACAATTGGTGACATGGCTCAAAACCATTCTGAGTGGCGCAGATGCATCCACTCCCTGTGACTTATGATCTTCAATGAAACTGTTTTGTATTTCTTTATTACTCCTTTGTCTCACACCTCTGGTCACTGTTTCTATTATGCTTTTCTTGTACTTTCTTCTCTTGCTTCGCGTGCTACACGGAATGTGGCGACTTGAACTTCCGCACATTTGTGCAAAGTTCTATGTCGAAAACAGACAGAGACGGACAGGCAAGGAGTTACTATTTTACGTTTCTTATCTAAAACTGCCTAATCTTAAGAATACTTACCATTTGGTTGTTTCATGCAAGCAACCTAACCATGCTATATATATTTAATATGCTACTTAAAAGAGTTTACGTGATTGACATGCAGGTTTTTTAGGCACTATCAGATGTAACAGGAAGGCTTCGTGTGCTTTTGGAAGTGATTTTTTTTGATTTTTGATTTACAGCTTGATTCCACACTGTATTTTTGGTACAAGTATGGGATTTTCAGCATGGATATCGGTAGCCCAAATTTTGCAGGCCGACCATAGATATCAGGTGTGCGCCGGCGTGGGCTCGAACCCCGGACCATGTGAATGGTCGGCGAGAGTCCTAACCACTGTGCCACCGACGCACAGTGTGATATCCGACTAGCGACCGAAGGGTGGGTGTACTGCTGAATAGTCCGCTTCGTCCTCCTTTATGGCTAGCTGTGAGACCTGGCCACTGAGAGTGGAAGACATGAAAAGATTAGCTGTCTTTGATCATAGGTGCCTGCGCTTTATCTCCCGTGTGAAGTGGTATAATAAGGTGAGCAATATTGAGGTGGTTAGGCTTCGGTCAAGTTCTAGGTAAACAGGGGAAATCAATCGACGAGTCTGTGAAGCAGCTGCGTCGACTGAGATGGTTAGGGCATGTGTTACGCATGCATTCTTAGTCACTGCATCCCTCGACAACGGGAAATGTTAGCTGACACAGGGTCAGGCTGGGAAAGAACTAGCGGCGGTCAAATGAAATCTACAACAGTTAGTTTAAGCCACGCAGGAAAGTGCAGACTTCCTGGTTTGGGTCCTCGGGATGGTAAAAACCAATGGTTGGAAACAATTGGTGATATGGCTCAAAATCGTTCTCAGTGGCTGGCTAGCGCAGATGCACCCACTCCTTGTGACTTGTGATTTCCAATGGAACTATATTGTTGTTCGCTAATACTATTCCTTTGTCTCACACCTCTGTTTACTGTCTCTATTATGCATTTCTTCTACTTTCTTCTCTTGCTTTGTGTGCTACAAAGAGGGGAGTGTGGCTACTTGAACTGGTGTATATCGGTGCAAAGTTCTGTGTCGAAAACAGACATCAAATGTAACATAACTATACAATATATGAATACGGCAAGTGTTGGATGGGGATCTGCAATCATGTACTTTAAGATTTACCAAAGGATGAAGATATGATCAATGCACTCCAATCCGAATTACAAACCAGCTTAGTTTCGTTGGATTAGCCTTCTTACGAGTTTCACTTCATCTTGTAGTGATCTCAGGATCATCGACACATCATTGTATTAGCCCAGTTGTCTCCCTTACACGTCAAATAATTAAAAAGGAGTTGCATCGTCATATACGTAATTGCACACTTGCATATTTTTCACTGAATAGGTCTGGAAACTTTACTAATCAAACTTAGGCTTTGAGTAAGTCATTCAGTTTATATTATATAACCGATGGGTGTAATCGTTGCGGAGTAGGGCATATCATGGAGGTGTGCTAGTACTTTACCCATCAGCTTTATTATTTCCCAGACAGTTACATCATTTGTAATTACTATCCGCTGTTTGACTTTTATTCTCCCATGTGTTGATTTGATTTTTCAGTACTGATAGCCTCGACAATATAATTGAAAAGTGGCATCCTGAAGTGAAACATTTCTGTCCAAATGTTCCAATAATTCTTGTGGGTAACAAACAAGATTTACGTAATGATGAACGAGCACATCATGAGTTGGCTAAAGTACGTCAGGAATTGGTTAAGTATGAAGAGGGTCGTCTCATGGCTGATCGTATCAGTAAGTTCCCCCATTTTTTTCAAATTAAAGCTTTTATTTATTTATGAAGGGTTTATATTTTTAAAATATCTGTGGTCTCTTATATATAGTTTGAATTTACAAATGTATTTGTTTTGCGGGAAGTGTGGATTTACGTGATATCTGGTGTTTTAACTTTGATATCGTAATGTGTATACAGGCTTGCACTATACGCCATATCGTGGTTACTTTTAGTTAAAATATATAATCCTAAAGCTTTTTAGAGTTGACAGATTGATGATTTGTACTAGGACTAATTTTTGTTGGATTCTAGACTTCTATCACTCATGTTTTAGGTGAATTTTAAATTTTGCTCTTTTTGTTATTGTTTGCAAAAATGGTTGTTATGTGCCTTCATGAAATCAAATAATGCTCACAATATCAAGCCTCCAATAAGTAACCATCTCATAATGTTGTTTTTCAAATCCCATTTGACCGAGATTTTTAAATGTTCTTACTGCGTCAAATCGAACCATACCTTTTACTGTGGAAAATGTTAAGTTATCAATTTCTGTTGTATACTTTCTTCTTTCATGTGTTATTGTTTCCTCCTGGTTCCCTATCAATTCATATTTTTTATGTTGTTGTTGTTGTCGTCGTCGAGTAGAGAAGTGGTTCGTTGTCTCAAACTGTCGGTTTTCGGCTAATATCTCTTGGATTTGAGTCCAGCTGAACTTAAGCCTAGGCAACTGAGTAGTAGTATCATCAGCCCTCACGCGATAAGTGCGTGCGGCTCTTAACTTGGTACATGAAAAATCTGTTCCAGGTAACTGAATTCAACTAAAGTTCCCTCTTATCGAGTCAGTAAAGTAGTGGCAACTGGAAGTTATATACAATTGTAGCAGTTTATTTTGAGCTAAAATGCCAATACATTGTGATTGATTTGTTCAAAACGTTGAAGTGAACTGAATTTCTCACGTAGAACTTTGCACAAGAATTCATTAGATTCAGCTTGCCAATGGTGGCATGAAGAGGATTCAGAAAGAAACTCTAACAAACGAAAGTGTACAGCAGACCGAATGATTACATGGCGAAAAATGAAAATTTAATGGGTCTGCGATTTCATAAAGAGTGAATGCATCTACCACTTTGAGGAAGATTTTAAGTCATATTGTAACAACAGAAGACAAAGACCAGGCAACAGATCGTTTATTAGAGAAATCAACACATACTTGTAGATTTTCATGTACATTTTACAGATTATTGTTAGCAGAAGAAAAACATAGTCCTCTGATTGGTTGTTTTTCACAGAAAGTTAACCTTGCATCTCTTGTGGCTGTTTCTTGAATGTCAGATCATCTATATGTTAACTGTATCTGCCTACGCAAAGCCTTTCTTCTAATTTTTCTCACGACCAATATTGGGGACACAAATATTGAGGTAAATTACTGTCCACCAACTTTGGCTAACGGCCAGCTCTCACCATGATATCACCAATAGTCTCCAGTCATTGATTTTTAGGGTCTTGAGAATCCCACTTAGATATATCCTACACTTTCCCACATAGCTCAAACCAACAGCTAAAGATTTATGCCATATATTGATTCAGTCTCTTTCTCAGTTATATCATTGTTTTCCGTGAAGGACAATGGCTTAGGATGCATAACATGGCCTTAAACCATCTCAGTATATACAACTTCATAATCTCATCGATTGACACCATACATCTAATCTCCGTGTTACTGACGTTGTGTTATTATGATCATTTCTTTGAAAAGTTCAGATTAAATTGTCGAATGGAAATTTTGAGATTACTGGTTTTAATACCTCTCAGATTTGTACGGACATAACTTTATATATAAATATATATATATATATATATATATATATATATATATTTAAAGTATTGGTTTTGTAGGGATTTTGTTTGATTGGATGGAAGATTTCATCATAAGTTGACATCAGTGAGAGAAACGCTGGAAAACCAACTGAGAGGACTGGACAGCTGTTTCATCCTGGTTTGGGACTCTCCACCAGTACGCACCCACGGGGGTTCGAACCGATGACCTTCTGGTTACAAGGTGAGCTCGTAGACCATTAAGCCACTGGGACCCGATTCAGTGGCCAGCCAGTTCATGAATTTCAACTTCTGCCTGCTTTTGCTTAGTGCCCGATATTGATGACAGGTTCGGTTCAAATCTTTATTAGAGTTTCTACTAATTTAGCTGGTAGTAGATTCCTATTCTGAATGTCATCCAACCTACAGTCGTGTATGCTCCACAGATATAATTGAAATTAGCGCTGAAACTTTCACTTAAATGTTGTGCTTATATATGATTAGAAAAATTGAATACTTGATTTAATAATACTGTTTTATCTTAATCTTTTAAACCTTGCAGATGCTTATGTTTATTTGGAATGCTCTGCAAAAACAAAAGAAGGTGTTCGTAAAGTCTTTGAAACAGCTACACGTGCTGCTTTATCTACAAAGCGTAAAGGAAAGAGGGGCTGTGAACTTGTCTAGAGAGAAAGTATCCCTACTATATTGCTTGAAAAAAAATGATAGGGGAAATGAATTTTGTTTGAGAGATCTATCAGTAGTACATATATACATGTATATGTATACGTGTGTGTGTGTGTGTGTGCTAGCTAGCTGTGTGTATCATCTCCTATAAATGTACATGTGTATGCGTGTATGTTTGCTGCTAAGTTATTCTACTTCTTCTTTGTGTGTATGAGTTGATCCATTCAAATCATGTGTTAGAGAGGAGTGTATACAATGTGTATTTTTCATGCATTTATTGAAAAGAAAAGAAGCAGACCAAATAACCCCAACCCACAGTGTGTGCTCTGTGTTACTGCCATGATCATGCTTTTATTTTACTTTCCCAAATAATAATAAAATTACTACTACTATTATTATTGTTATTCTCCCTCTTATATTTCTATCTTTGTCGTCGTTATATTGCCTGCCTTTTTCACACTAATATCTAATCAATCATGGATATACACACATACATATACACATATTCACGTTGCTGAAGAGTTTTGGGAAGAGTTTCCACTTTTACCCAACAAGTCTCAATTTTTTTTTGGCATCGATTATTTTCCCCGTTGATTTTCTTTTTCTTTTAATTTTATGGTCAAAGTAAAGAAACAATAATAAGGTATTGATTAGTTGATTAATTTGTGCAATAAATAATAAGTAATAATAGTAATTATATATAATGTATGCTTTATGCAATATAAAGATAATATATTGCACACTTTTATGATTATTCTTGTCCTTCTTATTGCTCTCTTTTGTGTGTTTGTGTGTTGTTCAAAGTTACACTTACATTTTTCCTTCTTTTAATAAATTCCCCATATAATATACCATTATTGCTGATAGATAATATTAGTAAAATCTCTAATGAGATATCATACAATTTCATGGAAAAAAAGTAAAAAAATATATATTGATTATTTGCTGGAATTGTGTGTATACATCTTTCATCATTCTTTTTGTTGACTGTATTATGATGTCTTCCAAATCACCCTAAAAATATATATATTCCCCTTACTAATTTAAAGAATGATGCAAGGAAGGATAATATTTTATTAATAATAACAATAATAGTTTTATTCTTTTTTGTTTTGTCATTTATTGGCATTTTCAATTTCTCTTCTTCCTTAAAACATAGAGAAAGGGGGAGTATACACTAACTGAGTTGTGCTAATTAATCATTAACCCGAGAATTCGTTCGTTTCTCTCTCTCTCTCTGTGTCGTTATATGTGTATGTAGTCTCTAACACTTCTTCTACCATCGGCATAGATGATGAATAATGACATGATTATTTGTGAATGCATGTTTTACAGACTTATACATCACATCGCATATTGTGTCTTTGCCCTGAGGGCGCGGGGTTACATTCAAAACTATAGTCCTTTTTTTCTTCGTCTATTATACATTCTTCATTACGTTTTAATGTTTTTAAATAATATTAACATCTCTATATATAAATATTTATATACATGCTTTGTATTCTATTTATTTCGTTTGTGGTGGGATTAAAACTAGTTTTTTCCCGTATCTTTCGTTGTTTGAGGTAGCTGATGTATGTGTTAGGCATACTCATTCAATGATATCTTTAGAAATAGGGAGTTAATTGGTTAGAGCACGTTGATCGCTTCACTTATTTGGGAATTACCATCAACCAGTGCCAACGGGTTAATCTCTGATGAAATCTCAGCACGGATACAGAGGACTGGTTTCGCATATGCCAGTCAACGCCGTCTCTGGCTTAGCAGACGTGATATTCGGCTGGCTATCAACCAAGGGGCGGGTGTACTGCTCAGTAGTTCGCTCCGTCCTCCTTCATGGCTGTGAGCGAGACCTGGCTATTGAGAGTGGAAGACATGAAAAGGGTGGCTAGCTGTCTTTGATCATAGATTCCTGCGCTTTATCTCCCGTGTGAAGTGGTATAAGGTGAGCAATATTGAGGTGGTTAGGCTTCGGTCGAGTTCTAGGTAAACAGGGGAAATCAATCGACGAGTCTGTGAAGCAGCTACGTCGACTGAGATGGTTAGGACATGTGTTAAGCATGCATGTCTAGCCATCGCCTTCCTCGACAATGGGCAATGTTAGCTGACATAGGGTCAGGTAAGAAAAGAGCTAGCGGTGGTCAAACCAAAACATGGCTTCATCAGTCAGTGAAATCCGAAACAGTTTAAGCCAGTCACGTAGGAAGATGTAGATTTCCTGTTTGGGGTCCTCGGGACGGTAAAAACCAATGAAGGGCTGGAAACAATTGGTGATATGGCTGGCTCAAAATCGTTCTCAGTGGCTGCATGCACTGCTTGTGACTTTGTGATTTGCAATGAAACTATATTGTTCTTCGTTATTACTATTCTTTTTGCCTCATATCTCTATTTACTGTCTCTATTTTGCGTTTCTTGTACTTTCTTCTGTTGCTTTGTGTGGTAGAAGGAGCGGAGTGTGGCGACTTGAACTGGTGCACATCGGTGCAAAGTTCTATGTCGAAAACACAGGCAGTCTCTCTTTCAGCCCAGCTTTTCTATCCCGACAAATTAGGGTACATTAAGTGATAGAAGTTGTAAATGCTTTTCAGTTGAAGAGTGTTCACGAAGCAATTGGAATCAGTTATTATATTATTATTATTGGACTTGCTATATATACATAGGCTCTTGACAAATATTATTCAACTTTGTCGTAGTTATTTCTTGCAGAACAGGTTTGTACTGACTCTTAGTTTGAAGATGGCGAGTGAAGTAGGTAGGTAGTAGTATTAGTAGAAGGTGTCGACCACCTCACTTATTCGGAAAGATGCATCAAACCTGATAGTCATTGCTGACGAGCTCCCAGCACGGATACAAAAGGCTCTCTGGTCTACAGGCGTGGTATCTGACTGTCAATCAAAGGATGTCTGTACAGCACATTAGCTGTGTTTTCTTCTTATTCGTTGTGGGACATGGTCATTGATGAAAGGGGTTAGCTTCCTCTGACCACAAATGTTTTCGTCCGATTTCCCGTATTAACATCTTGAGATTATTTCACATTCATTTAGGTATAAAGGGATATAAAGTTGAGTTGTTTAATATTTGTCATCTTAATTTGCCTTTTGGACCACACACATACACACACTGTGCTGTGCTGTCTTGATTTTAATTCACCGAATTCATAATCATGTTCGTGGAATTCAGCGTGTTCACGTAAAGGTAGGTCCATTTATTGAACTATAGGCCATTTAGTTTTTAACAACTAATGTTCATTTCACGTACTTTAGCAGCTACAAATCAAGTATCTAGAGTAGTAAGTGTACTATTCAACGTACAACAATCGTCATTTCAGTTTTCCTTAATTTCTACTAGGCAACAGTCTAATCCGTATCGAGTAAAGCTTTTTTGTTCTCAAGTATTTCGATATGATTAATCTCAGGGTATAATAGAAGTTGGAATCCATGAGTCATCGGATTACGACTACTAGGTGGTCGAATGGTCAACAGCCTCCCTTTCGTAACCTAGAGTTACTGAGTCCAACCCCTGATGTAGTTGTATGTGTGTGTGCTCGCGCTGTTCTGATAAGTCACAAGCTAGGATGAAACACCTGTCCGTATTTCAGCGTTTTCAATGGTTCTCTAAGTGACTTTGTATTGTGATTCAACCTACTATGGAAGGCTTCTTTGTTCGTGTACTTGAGATATGTTCGTGCAAGATTAATATAGTCATGTTTTTAATTGTCAGATACGTACGGAAAAAATTGTTAGACTACTTCTAAAGCTTATAGAATTTTAGAGGATTCGGTATTTCAAACATTTTCCTTTCCAGGTTAGTCGGGAAAAAAGTCAGTGTAGTGGTAGCGTCTTTTTCTTAATGAATACTTGTAGTTCATTGCTTTTGTAATCAATAGGTCCATTACATCTGCTTCAGCATATATACATATATATATATATATATCGGTGGTATCATCAGCCTTCATACAAGAAGTATAGCTTATAACCCCTTAAAAAATGAGGGTTATGAGCTATACTTATTGTATGAAGTAGGGGCATGCCAAATATGCGATTCAAAAAGCTCGAGCTGCTTTTGCTAACTTACGCCATCTCTGGCATAGGCGTGACATCCGGCTATTAAACAAGGGACGCGTGTACTGCTCAGCCGTTCGCTCCGTCCTTCGCTATGGCTCTGAAACATGGCCAATACGAGTTGAAGACATGAAAAGGTTGACTACTTTCGATCATAGATGTCTACGATCTCTTTCTCACGTTAGGTGGTTTAATAAGGTAAGTAATGTTGACGTTAGGCGTAGGGTGTTGGGCAAAGAGGGAAAATCAATCGACTAGGCTATAAAGTTACATAGACTAAGATGGCTAGGTCAGGTGCTGCGCATGCCTAACCATCACCTCCCTCGACGGGCATTACTAGCTGATATGTGCAGGCTGGGAAAGAGTAAGGGGTGGCCAAACAAAAACATGGCATCAATCCATGAAATCCTTGACAGTTAAACTGAGTCAGGTAGGGAGGGAGATGCAGACTTCCGGGTTGGGGCTCTCGGGACTCTAAGAATTAATGGCTGGAGACAATAGGTGACACGACTCAAAATCGTTGTCAATGGCCAGTGCAGATGTATTCAGTCTCTGTAATCTTTCATATTCCTTTCTACCATTACCCATTCTGTTTCACTCTTATACTTGTCAAACTCTATTGATTCTCTTCAGTCGTCTTATTGTCTACCTTTGTGTGCTATTTGGAACGTGGCAACTCTAAGTGCTGCACTTCGGTGTCGAGTTCCATGTTGAATCCAACAGACAGACCTCGAAAAATGGGAAATTTGTGATGCGTAAATGAGTCTCTGACAAATAAATAATCTGTCTGTAAGTGATTTTCTTATGTAGATTATGGGATTCAGATTAATTTCAATGG